TATGTAATAAACCCTATTTTTGGTCCTTTAAGCATAAAAGTCCCATGTATGTACGTAAATTTCATGACTTTACGTATTATATCGACTTTAGGAGCCCATATCTATCTTTTGGATGAGATTTGCACAACATAAATCGAGTTATGGACTTGGACATTAGTCGACTCGATGAGTCGTTCTTGGGACTCAGCAAGCCAGGGTTTGGTTTCCCAACCTTTTCTTATTCGAGAGATCCAGTTGAGACTGGAAGGAACTAGTTGAGTCCAGGATGAGTACTCAGCAAAGTAGATGTAGTAATGAACCTGGAAACTATGGGACTCGGTGAGTGTATGAACAAACTTGGCGAGTCCAAGGCAATCTCCCAACCCATGAAGACGCACTCGACTAGATGTTCTTATAACTAGACGAGTCACGGACTAGACATACTCATACGATGAAGGTGGACTCAACGAGTTCAAGGATGAACTCGACGAGTCAGTTGAAGATTGTCCCATTGTTATGGTTGAAGGAGAACTCGTCGAGTTCTTGCTATACTCGACGAGTAGAGTCAGGGTTGGGGACAGATGAAAAATAAGGACTCGGCAAGTTGGTGGACCAACTCGGCGTGTCAAGTCAACTGGATGTTGGCTTTAACCAGGATGTTGACCTTAGCCAGGGGTAAATTGGTAATTTTACCCTAAGATTAGTTATCAACTTTTGACTAAGTATCTTTATGGAAATTATAGTCAGAGAGTCGTCGGAGCAGCAGACAGGGATTTCTCACTCAGAGTTTCAGCAGCCAGTCAAACGAGGTGAGTTTCCTTTAAGTAGGAACGAGTCTAACGCACCAAGGCCGGCCCGTAGCGTGTTATGATTAGTAGATGAGTGTGGGTGGGGCCCATATCTCCCAGTTAGCTGAGTGTGGGCGAGGCCCGTATTTCCTGGTACTGGAGTTGATTATGATATAAGTCTGAATGATAGATCTAGTTATACTTGTTGTATGTGTGATACTTGTATGTCTGCCGAGTATTTCTTGGGGCCCGTATTTCCCGGTAGCGGGGCCTGTATCTCGAGTAGCTGAGTGTGGGTGGGGCCTGTATCTCCTACTTATTAGAGTATGGGTGGGGCTTGTATCTCCATGAGTGTGGGCGAGGCCCGTATCTCCTAGTTGCATGTTATATGTGTATGGTATGTGGTAGCTTGGGGGAGCTTACTAAGCTTTGCGCTTACAGTTTCAGTTTTGGTTTCAGGTACTTTAGCTAGCAAAGGGAAGGGCTCGAGTTGATGGCATGAGACACACCACAGTTTCTATTAGCCTGGGAGCTTACGCTGATATTTTATATGAGACAATTATATGTTGACAAATTTTTATGAGATTTTGAGATACATGTTTGATGATTTGATTTTATGATGATAATATTATGTTTGTTAAATGATTTCAAAAATGAAATTTTTGGCTTGTATTTTTAGGATGTTTCATTGACTTAGTACTTAGTATTTTTGATAGTTCAGGATTTTCGGAGAGACATATATCAGAGACCTTCAGTTCATTCAGCACTACTTGCGATGTGAGTTATCCTCACTATACTAAGGGGGTCGAAGGCACCAATGATGACTTATTGGATCCGATATCTTAGTAGTTGGTGTTATGTTGAGTGTGAATTAGTTATGCATGCTAGTTGCTATGCCAGTTTGGTAGATCTGTAGGACTACCCATGTTAATATATGATTATCTGTATGTGCATTGGTTATGTTATATGTCAACATGTTATATGGGATGGGTTGAGGTTGTACTACTCAGTGCGATAGCCAACAAACCCTGGAGTATTCCAGATATGAGTTGAGGGCCGGCCAGGGCATGCCAGACTCATACTGAGGACTCATGAGCATTCTAGATATGAGCTGATGGTCGGGTAGGGCATGCCAAACTCGTACTGTAGGCTTAGGAGCCTTCAAGATACAAGTTGAGGGCCGGGCAGGGCATTCCATACTCATACTGTGGGCTCAGTGGCAAGCCAGATGTGAGCTATGGGCCCGGAAGGAAAGCCGGATTCCCAATGTGGGTCCAGGGGTAATCCAATCTGTAAAGTTATGGACCCATTACATGCTGCTATTTGTATATGTGTTATTTGTTGTGTATCAGTATTCTGGGGGAACTCACTAAGCTTTAGGCTTGCAGTTTCAGTTTTGGTTTCAGGTACCTAAGATGATCGCGGGAAGGCAAAGACGTGATCGTACAGCTCCTCACATTTATGACTATGTTTCTGGGATACTCTGATATAGAACTGTTTTGAAAACAAATTTGTAATAACTGTTGGTTTCTAAATGTTTTAAACAGTTTAAATTTGACATGATTTTTTATGGATGTTACAATAACTCTTTCGTATGACATCCATTCTTGTATGTTTTTATATCGACGTATTAATATTTATGAGATATTCGATTCTTGTTTATTTTTTATGCCTTACAATCGACCGATTTTTAACTTCGGTTTCTATGCCGCACACTGTTGTATTGTATGTCATCGAAACTTTGAAAAATCATAACTTGTTTACACGGAGTCAGATTTAGACGTTCTTGCATGTTTTCACTTTTTTGATCACTACGGTTGTTGTTTAGATTATTTATACTAAATAATCTTTTATGTATTTTAGCCTTATTTCTTAAATTTTGACGTAAGTTTCTACACAAGGATTATATACATATAATATCTATAAATTTCACATAACACATAATATCTATAAAATTTCACATATCGAACGTCATAAATACAGATTCATAACATGTTAACCTTATTTATCAAACTAATATAGAAATAATAATGGGTTTAAGGTCCCATATTCCATGTTTATCACTTTTAATGCCATATGATGTGCTAATGGGGAATATACTTTACAATTCCATTCTAAAAAGAGGACAACATACTCGTAATAACAACATACTTTTGAAGTTATAATGTATTATGTAATTCTTGTGAAATTCATCTGTCTTATGAAAATTGTTTAATTTATTGTGAAATAGTCATTTACACATACACTCAGAGTCATCACATTGTGTATATAACATGAAAACATATGAACATTACACGACTTTCCATTAGTTAACTTGTCGTAAGTATATGGTTGTTACCAAAGATAACCCCGCCACCCCCCCCCCCCCCAATAACTAAAATTAACCACAAGTGATTTTCATCAACAACTCCACACATATAACATTAATGCACACTATTAGGAACATTAAATAGTAAAAAAACCCACTATGTTATCCATAGATCTCATTGTCATGTTCATATTTAAAAAAGTAGCCCCGTGATGAGAGCCTAGTAGTTGAAGAGTGGAGTTCCACATAAAAGGTTAATGGTTCAAACCCTTAAACACCCATAATATTATTAGTGTTATGCGAATGACCTCCTACGTGAGCCTTAAAGCAGGGTTGATGTGAGTTACTATGATGGTGCGATTTACATTTTTTTTATTTAAAAAAACCTAATTTCATCATACACCCAAAAATAGTATCCCACGAATCCAAATACATGTATACCAAAATTTACCATTACCGTATCAATTTAGGGATGTCAACGGGGGTAAACGAGACGGAGATTGCATCCCCCGCCTCCACCTCCAAAATTTTCTTGTTCCCTCGCCCCTGCCCCCCCCTCCCCCGAAATCTCTAACCTTTCCACCCCGCCCCTGCCCGAATTCCCCTTATGACCCCCGCCCCCGCCCCGATTGATATTGGGCTACCTTATTTGGGCTAAAAGAAGTTTTTGTTTTGGCTAAAAGAAACTATTTTTTTGGATAACAAATAGATATTTATAACATAATTTTACATGTTACAAACAACTTAAAAACATGTTTTTTGTTCTATTTTTGTACGTAAAAATCATTTTAACCTTGCTCCCGCCCCCGCCTCCGCCCCCAAAAATTTTCTGGGAAACAGGGGTTAAGCTTGCCCCCGCCCCTGCCCCCGTTCCCGATTTTTTTCAACAAATACCCCCATACGGGACGGAGCCCCCACGGGATCGGGGTCCCACAGAATTTTTTTGACATTCCTACGTATCATTAGGTAAACATAGTAGAATCCCAAATCCCTAACTATAAACCCTAATTTGTTACTAATGAGAAAATAAGCTAAATCCACAAATTTAAGACTTACTAATTATGAAATTTGGAATATTAATGAATGACCCCTTTAATGTCACTAACCATTTTCTCGAATGCTCTTCAAACCGTATCCTTAAAGTGAAAACCACAATAAATGAAGTTTGGTTTGGAAATAAACAATTAAAAGCTGTTAGACCACGTATACAACATGCTACGTACATACACGCCACGTAGCAAGTCGCTCGTGTCCTCAAAGAGACTTGAAATGCGACGCAACTCACAACTCAAGTTGCATACACCAAAATGGATACGTCTGTTTAGGTTGTGTAGGCCTATTGTTAGATTATCTTTCGTATACAAAATGACTACGAAACATGATCAAATCCACTTCAATGTTTAGTAACCGCACCGACATGCACATTGCCTATTTTCAGCAATATAATACACGTAATATTTAACTACAATGTCAACTTATAATAAGTATGTGATAAAAAATCAAACAAGCAATATGCCTATTACATCCAAAATCATGATAAATTATAATTACAACCGATAACTTTTTTTTTCTTTCTAAAACCTTTCTAAAACTACATACATCCGCTCCATGTATCCTACACCTTTCATATTCATTGGAGTTTAGATTAAATCAAACATGTATTAAAAACAAAAACCAACACCATCAATAGCAATGTATAATCAAATTATGCTTATTTATAATTGAAATTCACTTTTGGCAACCATATTTCTTACTTGATTATACAATTATAATACAAAAAATAAGCATATTTTTCTAAAATAAAGTCGAGTAAGGACAATAGGTTAAAAGAAAATAATAGTAAAAAATGAAAACGAAGATGGTAATGTAACAGTATCCCCTTCTTTTAACCGTGACAAATGCTGAAGCCTCCATCTCTCAACATACAACAATATAAATACACACACACAACCAAATCTCATCGAAAACCCTCACGTTCTTCGTCTCTATCGCTCTCTAAATTCTCAGAGATCCTTTCTACGAATCAATTCATCAGGTATACGTAATTCGCAATTTCAGATTCAATATATAATTATATCAACTCAAATAATCATCGGTAATGATCTAAACCGGATTTTTGTTCTTTTGTTTTGTTTCCCTTTTTCGCTTTTTCCTGGATCAGATTGTCGATAGTGTAAGAATTCGGTTGGAAATAGCGTTCTTCATCGGCGACTGGATTTGGTAAATGGAAATATCGATGAAGAAATGTATGAGAGATTGAGAAAAAGGATGCCGGAATTAGCGCATGATTGTCAATTCAGTGGCGGCGATACGACAACGTCATATGGATCAGTTTCGTCCACTGGCTTTTGGTCTAAGCATCGGGATGATGTTAGCTACAATCAGCTTCAGAAGGTACTTAATTAGATTTAGTTTTCAATTCTCAGATGTAATTTTTTGTTTTTTTCTTCCTTTTAATTGTTTGTTTAGAATCTCTGTAGAAGCAGATTGAGGTTATTCATAGATCTTAACGATATTCCAGTTTTGTGGCTTATTTAGATCGCTACTTGTGAGTAGGTTTTCTCAGGATTAATTAATTAGACGATGTATAGGCTTAATGTTGACTGTTTATGAAAGTGGCTTCAATAAACAAAAGCACATACTGTAAGGCTTACAAGTGTGAAAATTAAACTATGCTGGCAAAACTAAAATGCTTGTTCTAGACGCCCTGTTACATTTCAGAACTGCAATACACCACTTATGCAGCTTACACTAACACATTTGAGTTGAGTTCCTCTAGATGACTTCCTTAATCTCCCAATATCAATGCTGCATATATCCACCTAAGGCTCATTATGTAACTGGTGTACTACTGGATGATTAATTGCTTACCTAATGTTAGAAACAAGGAGTTATGATTTATGTCATTATGTGTTAATTGAAGTTGGCAATGCAATATTGAAAAGCATCGAGTTCTTATTGTTGGTTTCAAACTAGTTATACAGGAAAGACTAAAGAGCTTGCTTATGTATGAAATACATATTGAACAATTTTGTTAATTATTGGGTTTCTGTATTCATTGTAGTTCTGGAGTGAACTATCACTGCAAGCTAGGCAGGACCTCTTGAGGATAGACAAGCAAACTCTTTTTGAACAAGCTCGAAAGAACATGTACTGTTCCAGATGCAATGGGTTACTTCTAGAAGGTTTTTTGCAGATCATCATGTATGGAAAGTCATTGCAGCAAGAGGGAACAATTAATCAGAATAAACTTGGAACCTCAAAATGTCAAACTGGTGATGATGTCTGCTTGACAACTGGGCGTAATGATGATGTTCAAGATCCATCTGTCCACCCATGGGGAGGTTTAACCACTACTAGAGATGGAACACTCACCCTCTTGGACTGCTATATTTATTCAAAATACTTAAAGGGTCTTCAAAATGTACCTATCATTCATTATCCTTTCTACTTCTTTTTCTTTGAGGGGTAATTTTGTAAATCTCACATTACGCTCAAATCAGGTGTTTGATAGTGCAAGAGCAAGAGAGAGGGAGCGGGAATTACTTTATCCTGATGCGTGTGGAGGTGGAGGTCGTGGATGGATTAGTCAAGGGATGGTGGGGTATGGCAGAGGTCATGGGACCCGGGAAACCTGTGCTTTGCATACTGCAAGACTTTCTGTTGACACTTTGGTTGACTTTTGGTCTGCACTTGGAGAAGAGACACGCTATTCTCTTTTAAGAATGAAGGAAGAAGATTTTATGGAAAGACTAATGTATAGGTAAGTCTTTGTTATAAACTGTCTGTTTTCATCTGTGTGGTTATTTGAAATGCCCATTATTGAATACATATATTAGAATGATATGGGGTTCTTTCCATATTGAAAACACCAATAGTTATCTTCATTTGTTTTACTATAAGACTCCTTTGCCCTGTTGTTGACCATGAAGCATTGTTTCTTTAATAGCATATTGTTTAAAATATAAGACACTCTTCATTAAAATTCTGGAAACTCATGATAAGGTAGTGTGAAAACATCCCACATACTTCTATAGGAATCATTATTCATGTATTGGTTTAGTTATTAACTATTTGTATCCCATCGAGATACAAATGAAGTGTGCAATTTCTTAGAACATCTAAAGTAGGTAGGTATCATTAAAATGGAGAATAAGATGTTCTAATATACAATTACCCAAGAATTTATGAGATGTTGATAAACTCTAGCACCCCCTCAAACAATTGACTCAACATTTCACAGGTTTGACAGCAAGAGATTTTGTAGAGATTGCCGAAAGAATGTAATCCGTGAGTTTAAGGAGTTAAAAGAACTTAAACGCATGAGAAGAGAAGCTCGTTGCACAAGCTGGTTTTGTGTGGCTGATACAAGCTTCCAATATGAGGTGTGTCACAACTTTCTATGGCTATTTTCAGTTATAAAGATAGGAGGGCATTCTTGTCTTTTGCACTAATGAAAAATTAGAGCAAGTCTCTGTCTCACCTTTTTTGGCGCGACAGTTTTTGTCCCATCGACATAAAAGCAGTACAACCTGTTCTGTCATGTCAATATTTGTCTTATTGACATTCGTCTGAGTTCCAGTCTAATGCATACCAAACACAGTACAACTTATTTTCTCCTGCTGACAAAGTAGGTGAGGAATAAAACTTTTAACTCAATGAGACAATGTAAATTCTTCTTGCAGGTAACTCTTGACACAATCCAAGCCGATTGGCGTCAAAACTACGCAGATTCTACAGGAATATACGAGCACTACGAATGGGCGGTTGGGACTGGCGAGGGCAAATCAGACATTTTAGAGTTTGAAAATGTTGGCTCAAATTCAAGGGTTAAAGTGAATGGTCTAGATTTAACCGGTTTAAATGCGTGCTATATCACTCTAAGAGCATGGAGAACAGATGGACGATGCAATGAAGTTTCGGTCAAAGCCCATGCTTTGAAGGGTCAACATTGTGTCCATGGAAGACTTGTTGTTGGTGATGGCTTTGTTACAATCACAAGAGGAGAAAGCATTAGAAGGTTCTTTGAACATGCAGAAGAAGCTGAGGAAGAAGAGGTTTTTAATAGCAACTTACACAAATAATTGAAATCACATTGTTATATCTTGCATTTGAGCTACTCTTTTTTGCTTACATAATTTTTTTTTTTTATAAAATTTCAGGATGATGATTCCATGGACAAGGATGGAAATGAGCTAGATGGTGAATGCTCACGTCCCCAAAAACATGCGAAGAGTCCAGAACTTGCTCGGGAGTTTCTTTTGGATGCTGCAACAGTTATTTTTAAAGAACAGGTAAAATCAAAATTATCTTTTCTTATATTTTGTTAATATGATTTAATCTCTTGGATTATTTTTTATAGGTTGAAAAGGCTTTTAGAGAAGGGACTGCACGTCAAAATGCACATAGCATGTTTGTATCACTTGCACTTAAATTGTTGGAAGAACGAGTAATGGTGGCATGCAAAGACATCATCACTTTGGAAAAACAGGTAATATAATAAAAAAATTGATTATTATTTTTAATTTTGATATAACTTCCAATGTAACAATATATATATTTTTATCTATAATGCATATATTGGTAAAAAGAGTAAAGTAGGTTGCTATTTCCTGCAACTTGCCCTATTGTTTTCTAACTCTATTTTTTCTCAGTTTAAACTCCTTGAAGAAGAAGAGAAGGAAAAGCGTGATGAGGAAGAACGAAGGGAGAGAAGACGGGTTAAGGAAAAGGAAAAAAAACTTCGTAGGAAAGAGAGACTCAGAAGTAAAGAAAAAGAAAAAGAGAAAAAATGTTGTCAAAGTCAAAGTCAAAGTCAACCTGGTCAAACTCCTGCTTCTGATGAGAATAAGGAATTGACAAGTGTCAACGATGATGTCAGTGAAGAACATGAACATGAACATGAACATGAACAAGAAGAAGATACTCAGTTGGCAATGCCCGCATCCGAAGATTATACACCCGAGGAGCAAATATTAGATTATGACGACAATGAAAATTCCAATTCCAATTCCGAATTCAGCTATGGGAAAGAAGGGAATGGAATGTGTGGGAGTGATTCCAAACAACCGCGAAGGAGATTGAAACCATGGAAAGATTACCAAATTGATCAATCGTCAAAGTGGTCCGAGAGACGGCGGTTTGAAAGCGGGCCCATGGTCAAACCCGGTCAACGGTTTCACAGTGATAATTTCAATGGTGGAGTAAATAAGCCCGTAAGAAGGGTGAATGGATCGAGGTACAATGAGAGATTCAATTGTTGTCATAATCGGATTTGTAATTGTTACCAACACAATGATTATAGACCCAAAGTCGGAAAGCCGGAATCTGATTCCGATGTCTCGAAACCGTATTTCCGTGGAAACAAGTACAATAATCAAATGGAATACGGAAGACCTAAAAGTAAAATCGCCAACGGAATCAATGGTTCACCATATACAAAGAAAGTATGGGAGCCCAGAAGCAATCCTGATTCCGATGATGTTACTGTTTCCGTAAGCGAATCCGTCAAGGTTATTAATTCTTCATCAGATGATTCCAAGGAATTAAAAACTAACGTTGAGGATAACGATCCCAAGGAATCAAAAACCGAAGCTGAAGCCAAAGAAATAGTGGAGAACGAGGCTGATTCGGTAAGTGGGGCGACGGATCTGTCGACGTGCGGAATCAGCAATTCCAATTCCGATAGCTGTTCGTCGTGTCTAAGCGAAGGAGACGGAAACACTTCGTTTTCCTCAAACCCCCAGAATCCGGAATCCTCATCGACATCGGATTCGGAATACGCGAGCCATCAATCCGAAGTAATCAAAGAAACCATAATCTCGGAGGAATTACCATCAAAAGCATCGGAAAGTTGCGAAACCGGAAAGAGAAACGATGTTACAACCTCTCACCAACATGGGAATGTGATTCCGCCGCCTTTACAAGCTCCAAGCCTACACTTTCCGGTGTTTCAAGCTCCTTCCATGGGGTATTACCATCAAACCCCGGTTCCTTGGACCACAGCCATGCCATTACCACATCCAAACCACTATCTGTTCACTAGGCCTTTTGGGTATAATTTGAATGGGAATTCACGATTCCTTCCGTATGGCGGAATCCAACCGTTAACTCCACCATTACTTAACCCGGGTCAGATTCCAATCTACCAACCGATTCCACCGACCAACGGAATTAAAGACCACAACACCAGGGTCGTGCCGGTTATGCAAAATGAGAACTCCGAGAAGACACACAAAGGAATCTCACCGGGTGCCGGAGGGCAAAATGGGAATTTGGAGAGAACGGAGAAGGGTAATACGGGGTTTTCACTATTTCATTTTGGTGGGCCCGTGGATGTGTCGAATGGGTTTGGAGCAAGAGAAGAGATTGATGTGAATGTGAATGTTTGTTCGGGAGAGAAGGAAGTGGAAGAATATAACTTATTTGCAGCAAGCAACGGGATAAAGTTTTCCTTCTTCTGAAAAATACTTTAAAGTTTTGAGAAGATTTTGGTGAGAGGTTACTACTACTACTACTACTACCACCTGAGATCCATTTTTATATTTGGCATGCAATAATCTTGTGAAACAAATTCAGCTTTTCTTTTTTTCTTTTTGTTTTGATTGTTTTTTTTTTTTTTTTTCTTACTTGTTATCTTGTTATGGTGTAGAGATAGTTTGATAAGTGTCACAGTTTGATGGCTTTTGTATTGTTTTTCTATAGCAAGCAATTATAGACAAATCATCATCTTCTTTGGGTTTTCTACAAACTAAATATCAGATAATCAAGATTATTTTCTTTTGTTTTTTTTACCAGTTGGTGTTGGTTTCTTTGATGACATACTATTGTACAACTGATCAGAAGAGCATTATGAATACTTAAAAGATTTAGTTCAACAGCTGAAGTGAGAATATAAACGTCTATGGATGTTATTTTAGTTAAGATCTTTGTCACTGTGGTGATCCAACATTGGGATCCGAATCAGATTTATCCACAACGACCCGATCCCTTGTTGCGAATTCTAACATTTTTATACTTCAGATATTTTTAGGAAACTTTTAAACTACCTCCCCTACTATGACTATGTTTGAGAGACTAGTTAAAAATCTAAAAAGCTAGCTGTTATATTAACTTATTATAAAATTCATAAAAAGATATTTAGAAGATATGTTTTTTTTTTTTTTACTTTTTATAATTACATAAGGTTATATTTGAAAATTTTTAAAAAAGCTACTCAAAGTAGCTTTTTAAACGATATGCAAAACATGACAATTTAAAAAAAAAAACTTAAAAAAAAAACTAGTTTTTTAGTTAGCTGTGACGTATAACACACAACCTATATCTCTATCTCTAATTATGATCATGGCAAATATGTTGATCTCTTATTGGGATCCGGCTACCAATATATCAACATATAACAACAAAATAAAATAAAATGAATTAAATTTCTTTAAGTAGCAATGACGAATTTCATATCTTGTGTACAGATTCTTCGACACAATTCAATATGGTAGTGGTGGGTATTTGGGAGAGATGGTAGAGGAGTGGTGATGCCTACTATTGTGGTAGTGCTAGCATGGCCGATTCTATGTGGATGTTTTTTAAGTTAGGGCCCCCAACTCTAAGGGGCCCATATTTTTCAAAATCCAAAAGTTTAGTCCATTAAAAATCAAATCCGGTAATCACAAAATAAATGAAGTGGAAGAATAAATCAACGATCGCCGCATTCATGAAACTGAAACGACATTGCATTCTTCTACCGATCCTATTTTACGTGACATATTCATCTCATCTGTTTTTGATTTCCGAGTATAGTAAATGCCAAATGGCCCAAATTTTTGGCTTGCTTAAAGCCCCTTAAATGGTTGAGTTGCCCATGAATGCTAGTGTGTACTTCGATGCTGACACTGTTTGCAATTAGATTTCATCACCCTGTCAAAATAAACGTGTCAATTCATGTTTCATTAGTAAGTTTTTTTTTTGCTGCAATATCATGAATTATAATATGTAGACATGTGGTTTATTTTAAATCAAATGTGCGGCTTACCGAATTTATACTTGTGATTATATATTTTTTTAACGTTTATGAGAATGGTAAAGTTGGGCACATATTGTACTAAATGCAAATGGTTGATTACCATGGGAAGATGACGATGCCACCACAACTAGCGGCCCTCCTATCACCACATTTAGAAGTTATGTCAATTTCAAGAAATAAATAGATAAACATTTATCAAAACTAATCTTACTACTATTCTATAACGATATTTGAAGAAACACATATATAATTGACAATAAATAAGTACAAAAACAGAAAGCAAAAATTCTTTTTGTAGGACTTAAATTAGAAGTTAGAACTTAGAAGTGGTATATACCTTTAGGACAAAAGGAAATTAAAAGTTCATAATTTTCAAGTTTTGGACGAAATGGATCAAAAGTGTACGTATTAAAAATTTACAGGACCAAACTGTAATTTTCTTAGTTCATTTATAATCTTATTTTTCAATCTTTGACATTCTAACGGACTTTAAGATAATATTCCCACTTCCTCCTGCTCAGACGACGGCGACTGCTTGCTTCCGTTTGAAGGTGGCGCGTCGGTGGTAAACGCCTTCTCGGCTCACAGGTTCTTCTCTATCATGTACATAGACGCTTTCTCTCCCCTTTCCTTTTGTTCTTGAGTATTAGTATCTTTTCTTAGTGCTGAGGTTCGAGTTTAGTTTAAAGTTTGTAATTTTGAATGATTAGTAGTTATAAATTGTGTTGATGAATGCGTCTCGAATTTCGCTTTTGTTAGAAATTCTTAGCACATTTGAGCTGATTCTATGAGTTGTGAACAATACAAATTTTGAACGCTAGGGCTTTGTGATGAAATGGAGTGTTTTTTCTATCTTATATTTTAAGCTAAAAGCTCATTTAGGGTTACAATTCCATGGATGAGGTCGGGACTCGGTTGAAGCTCATTTAAGGCTACAATTACATGGATGGAATCGTAGTCTGAGCAAAAGAAGTTCAACTTTATAATTAAGTGTGCTCCAATTCTGCTGGTTTCCATAACTCAATTTTTGATATCATTTTGCCCAAATTCTAATTTCATCAACCAATAACCAAACATATCCTTATGAATTTGTTGTATTTTGCTCTCATGAACTGATGTTGGTTGTTCTGACTTCTGACAAATTGACAGTGCACTCATGAAGTCGATCTGTTTACCATCTTCTTCCCTCTCATGCCTCCCATCTCTTCACCATAATCCTACACCTTTATTTCAGTCCTGGCCTAACTATAAACCCTTCTCATCTTCACCCCTGTTTTCTCCCCTTTCAATCCAATCCACTTCACCTAAATCCTCCATTCCTGCTGTAACTCCAACTGAAGGATCAATCCCTGTGATCAACTTTGAAGATTTCGTGGAGAAAGATTGGTCATTTCTTGATGCTGATGATATATCTTCCAACCAAGTTTACAAACAAAACACTGACCGAATCATATCTTCTGGGAAAATTTCTGAGGATTCAAAGGTTCTAATTTCAACAGGATCAGAAGGGTTTGTTGATCAAGTGATTGATACACATTCTTGCAAACAATTGCTTGTTGTTCATGACTCTCTATTCGTATTAGCCTGCATTAAAGAAAAATACGACAAAGTTAAATGTTGGCAAGGAGAAGTGATTTTTGTCCCTGAAAAATGGGCGCCTTTTGATGTTGTGTTCCTCTACTTTCTTCCTGCTTTGCCATTTGAAGTCAATCAAATCTTTCAATCACTATCCAAGATTTGCTCACCAGGTATGTTTCATATTTTAGTAAGATTATACTATTTTTTTCATGAAATTTATTAGTGTTTCTATGTTTTTGAAGGTGCAAGAATTGTGATTAGTCATCCGAAAGGGAGAGAGATGCTTAAACAGCAGAAAGTGGAGTACCCTGATGTTGTGGTGTCGGATTTGCCTGATAAAGTGATGTTAGAAAGTGTTGCATCTCATCACTCGTTTATAATGGTGGAATTCGTTGATGAGCCAGGGTTTTATCTTGCTGTATTAACACACAAAACTTGATACAGGTAAACTGTTTTAGGTTGTGTTCAATAGGTCACTAAACTAGTTTTGACTTTATGAAGTTTGACCAAATTTTTGTTACAAGAGGCTATTGGAAATTGGAATTTGCTTCTGCAAGACCAAAAAGCTTAATTGTTGCATGCATATTCCATCCGTTATTAAAGTTCTATATATATATATAAATTTTTGAGTTTTATATGTGGATTAACTATTGATTAAATGCCGAAAATCACGAAACGTGTTATGGTGTTAGACATTGTCTACAAGTAATAATTTGACTCTAATTTGGTGGGTGTAAAGAAATCTTCTATGGGATAATCGAAACAAACCATAACTCTAGTGCAAGCAAGTCGATTACTAATATTGGCAAAAATTAGCTACCTTATTGGCTAGCTTATTATAATTTAGCGTTTGGTAAAACCATAAAAGTAGCTTATCATATCTTATAAGCTAAAAGTTAGCGCCTCAAACACGAAGTTTTTTTTTTCCTTATAGAATCGAAGGATGAAAAATGAATAAACATCACAAATTGCAATTGTGTGGCGTTTGACCAAAAATTGGTGAATGACAATTGGCCTTGACCCTTCAAGATGAGGCACTCATCATTCACCGCTATCAAGTTAGTGTATACAAATGTGCACTTTGCACCCCGTGACTCATATTTGAGCATCCCAAATCCTCATACGTACTCGTGAAAATATAAATTACCAAAATGTTTGATGACATTAAAAACATTAGCATATCCCATCACCTCATGTTAACGTGGGAAAAATATAAATTACCAAAATGTTTGATGACATTAAAAACATTAGCATATCCCATCACCTCATGTTAACGTGGGAAAGGGTACGCATATATAGATGACCCATGCCTCTATCCAGATGGTGGGTGGAACATAATAGTTGCAAAGGGTACGCATATATAGATGACCCATGCCTCTATCCAGATGGTGGGTGGAACATAATAGTTGCTTTCACTACGACCTCCCGTATAAGAAATATATGCACCTTTAATAGTACATACAATGTTATGACATGCAAAGAGTAAGCCGATGCAAACAAAAGGGGTTGTTTGTTTGTTTTTTACAATAACCACTTTTGATTGTGCCGCACAGAACATGTGCACCACTTGGCTATTCGTAAATGTTTTTTTTTTTTTTTTTTTTTTTTTTTTAAAGACTTCAGACTTAAAAACATGAGTGTGTGTTGCACGACGCATCTATGACCTTCCTCTTCAAACCACTTCCACCGAATTTTAAGTTATGTTATTCAACATAGATTTGTTTTAATTGTTTCAACATGTTTATTATTTTAAAAATATTATGAAGGTATTATAAACAATGCAATTATAGTTTATATAATTTCAAAATAGTTTGGTAAATTTCATATGAATACTTCTTTTGTGTTATAATCTATAACCAAATTAAT